TGTCGGGGCGCGGCGGGCGGGGCCGGTGCGGGACTCGCGGAGCTCCGGCGGCCGCAGCGGGACAGCCCTGCGCGCCCGGAGCGGCCCCGCCGCCGCTCGGTGTCCCCGGCGCGTCCCCCGCCCGTCGCCCCGCGGGCTCCGGCGCTGCGGCACCGCCCGGCCCCGCTCGGGCCGCGGCCGCCGCCGCCCAGGCAAGTGGCGCGTCCCGGGGTGCGGGGGGAGCGGGGTGCGGGCTCCCCGTGCCAGTCCCGGGGGGCCCCAGGGATGATGGCGGAATGTGGGGAAGCCAGGGGGGCACTCCTGGCGGCACCGGGGCGAGGGGAGCCCCGCGGGGCATCGCCGGGCGTGTCCCTCTGTTACGCAGCTCCCCCGTCACGCGTGTTTATCGCCTTTACAGAGACTGACAGCTGCGCTCCGGTATCGGCTTTAGGTTCTCCTACCTCGTAATTCTCTTCTGCGTAAGCTAAGCTGCCTTTGTCCCCCAGTCAGAGCATTTTTTTTAAGCAGGCGGATTCTTGCAAATTGTGCAGTAGAAATATGTGAGCGGGTATGTGATTCTGTACTCTGATATCTTCTGTGCTGCCATCGTACATCACTTCGTTTGTGATTTGGGAAGTGTTCTCCTGGAGTTCCAGTTGATGTAGAAGTGCTTATTTTCAGAAGTATGGGGACTATGTTGTCAGAGCTGTGCTATAGCACAGGCCTGTGTTGTTACCACCATAATTTGGTCTGATGGTTTTAGTCTCTCTGCTCAGTGAATCAGAAGACAATATTTATAATCTTCAGTTTAATTTTGAGGACAGAGTGGGAGAGTGCAGTTTCTTGTGGAACGAAGTATATATGGTTTTGAAATATTTGAAGACAATTTGAAGTGTTGTCTTTTAAATGTCAGTGCATTTTCCAAATCTGACTTTTTCAAAGCTTAATTCCATCAGCTTTCAGCAAAGTTTGATTCATCATTGTTAACTTGGCAGTTAAACTTAAGAACTTAAGCTGGAATCTACAGTTCTGTTAATGGTTGTGCTTTATGTGTTCTTTTCGTATATACCTGAAACTTGTACTTTAAGACATTTTATTTCTTAGGAATACTCGTGGCAAATTTTGAAAGTCATAACAATTAGTAAAGGTCAGTTTACAGAACTAAATCATGCTTTGGCACAGCAACATAAAGATATTGACTGAGCAGTCGAGACTTAAGTGTAGACTGTTTCAGAGCAGTCAAAGCCATATTTTACTTACTAATTCATATGATGGTTGGAATATAGTGTTTTTTCTCTTTCCTTAATTACGAGGAGCAACCATGGAGTTTAGTTCAGCAATTTTTGGTGTAAAATACCTAGTCTGTGACTTCTAAGGCTTTTCACATAGTTACTTGTATCCCAGTAGCTCAAAAATTGAAAATGCTTATGGGGCCAGAGTATCATTGATAAATCCTCCATGAGTGTTTGAAATTCAGGTTTCCTGCTGTAGCTCAGCAGATGAAGAGTTGGGTTATGGTAGAACATAAGTTAAATGAGTATTTGCATTTGTCCATCTGTGGGGGTGAAAGTTGTCTGTTGTGCAGGTGTTAAAGGAGAAAATAAGAGGGAGGGAATAGCTTTGGGAACTTGTGAGATTAAAATATAAAATAGGGTTAGAAATGGCCAACATGACTTGAATAACTCAACTGTGAATAAGTGCTTTTCAGGTAGTTCCTGGCTAAGTGTCATTTTGATGCTTTTAGTGTGACTGTTTAGTGGTGGTATAAATTGCAGATTTCAAAGGTAATTTTTAAAATAGATATTTATTTTAAAGAATTTACAGTTTGTGGTAGGATCCAAAATATTAGATTGGGTTGAATCTCTTTTTAAAAACTCTGAGGCAGCAAGAAGCCATTTGAGACAAGTTTGTGTCCTAGATTTCATATCAGAAAGCATTAACAACTTTATTAAAGGTTTCAGAAGACTTGCTGTGGGCATTTTTAATGGCATAAGTGCTG